CAAATTTTTCAAATGTGGGCATTATTATCTAGACTATTTCCTGCTTATTTGGGGTGCTGGTAATCTTATGGGGATCAAAGGAAAATTTAGAACTATCATCAGGTCGTGACTGGAGTAGTCTGTGAGGCTGGATCATCTCAGCAAGCATCCTTGAAGCTGCTCTGGATACAGAATTCAAAGGAAACTGCAACAGAAATGCTCTGAAATGTTGGATTATCTGGGCCATCTGTTCCCTTCAGAGACTCTTTCAGAAGTCGTCCTTGTTCAAAGCTTATTTACTTTAACCCAGAATGAATCCACAGCCTCTCATTTTCTGTGTAAATTAAAACAAAACCTCTCCTTCAAATATCATATCTTTTGACTTAAATTCTGAAATGAATATATTTTCAAAATATATAGGTTGATTTAATCAAGCAGCATTTATAATCAAATGTCTCTTAGCAGCTCTAGCTCATTTCTTTGCATTCAAAAAACACAAAGACAACACAATAAGATGCATTGTCCAGCCTCTCTGTATATATTCCATCTTTATGTGTCTTATTATATTTGTATCATTCTACTTCCTTTTTAAGGACTTTCTCTACCCTTTTTCTTTTCTCTCCTAAGCCTACATATAACTTTAAACATACTGTAACCTGTTTAAAGGTTTTTTTCATCTGACTGCATAGCTCTCTCTTTTTCTGATCACACTAGCCTTTAAACTGTGAATTGGCATGGTTAGGACCAAGCAGCTGGCTCTGTCCCATTCCTTGGCTTCCTGAGAGTTTAGCTTCATGGCAGTAGTACTGGCAGGAGCCACATATATTGTTCCCAACTCTGGGGAGTTCCTGGGTTCATGCCACCACAGAGTAGTGCTCCACCCACTGATCATAAACACAAGTGTTTAGCTGCAAGGCCTCCAAAGAGTCATGTGGTTCTTGCTGCTAATGCTGAGTCAGAAGCCATCTCTCAAAAGAGCCATGGCTCTGCTCACCACCAGAATACAGAGCCCACCTTGTTCTTGACTCCAAGCTGTTCTTGACTCCATTCTTGTGTGTCTAGAATCCTCTTTAAAAATTTTGTCAGGTTCCATATGGAAATTCTGGCCCCATGTTGGAATGCCAAAGGTAGTTAGAAGTTCCTGTCCTGCCACAACTCACAAATGCCCAACTGCTGCTTTCAAAATAACTGACTCAGAGGCTTACTATTTCTTAGAAATGCTAGAAACACTAGCTCAGACTTATTACTACTAACTCTTACCCTTAAATTAATCAATAATCCTTATCTATGTTTAGACACAGGGCTTGGTACCTTTTCTCAGTGCTGCATTCTCATCTTAATTCCTCTGCATCTGGCTGGTGACTCCATCTCTGCCCTACTCTTCTGAGAATTCCCATAGTCTGGTTGCCCCACATATACTTCAGTGTTTCATTCAACCAATTTGAGTGACAAATCTTTACACTGTACAAGAGCATTATCCCACAGCAGTTTCTGTCAAATAAATCTTGCTTGGAGTCAGAGGGCAGAGCTAGCCACTAGCTGACCTAAAGTAACCCTAGAAGTTTGGAGGATTGTAGACAGAAGGAGATATGAAGTGGTACGGTAAGGTGGAGAGAGGACCTAGACCATTTTGGATGATGGGACAGCAGAAGCAGGAAGCAACAGGCATCTACTCTCTGCTTCTCTGATCTTTTATGTTCTTACACTGACATTTGATTCCACAATTTATTGATAATACTAATTAGATTAATGCTTCAAAAGGTTGTCATGCAGGTGCATGCTTAGGTCCTTGGTGTTGAGTTACTTCTTCTGGGAACCTCTGCCCTCGGATACTGGCTCTGTAGCTCCTGCAGTAAGTTGCAATTCTGTCTCTTTCTGGGCTGGAAGAGACAGGAGTCTCAGCTGGGAGGGGGCAAAGCCTTTCCACCAGGGATGTGCACACAAACAAGGAAGGGACATTTACAACATATGGGTGAGTGAGCAAATGTCCCAGGACACAGGACAGTAAATATCACACATGTTTTGACAACATAAAGTTTCTGATTTAAAATCTGTAGGTGTTTCTAAGCTTCCCTGCCCCAGTGTGAGATTTCCATGAGGTGATGTCCTGGTCCCCTGCTTGGATGACCCACAGAGGAATCCACCACCTCCTGAGAACCAGGACACCCACATCCTGCTCACCTTCACTCTTGAATTTGCACAAATGCCTTCTTCAGAGAAGGAGGAAGATGAATATGAAGAGGAGCAGGGGGAAGGCCACAGAGACTCCAGTCAGAGACTTCTGGTACATTTCTACTCCTGAGGCACAAATGACATGAAAAGGGAGGACAGTTGCTGCTTACCTGAACACAGAATGTATGACAGGCCCATGCCAGTTATTTACACTCATGACCGTCCATCCTCACAGTCAGGAAACATGGAAGTGTATCTTTGCTATTCAGTCACTTGACTTTCGTCAGATCGACAGAATGAACCTTGCAGAGCTGGCCTTTGAACTCAGGGACTCTGACTTTCATCCCTGTTCTCTGCAGCAGGTCTGAGCCTCATGAGCTGGCTCAAAAGAGGCTGAATGTCATGTGTTGGCCCTTTGCCCACAATTTCACAGGTAACCAAGACCTTGATATAGACCCAGAACAGACTCATGTTCCGGAGGCATCCACTATCAGAACAGGCCAAAGCCAAGGACAGGAGAGAAAAAAACATAGATAAGTGGGCCAGGTTTCTCCCCTTTATAGTCAGAGAAGCAGCAGCAGGACCAGGAAAGAAAGGCTCATCCAAGTCAGCATCCCCCCAAAAAACAATTGAGACCATACATGGTTGTTTCCCTTGTAGGCCCCACCTCCCAACTGAGTCTCTATTAGTCTCAGTGGTGCTTAATATCATGCAGGTAAGAGGATTGTTCCCAGGCCCCTGTCAGCAGGGTAGGCAGGAAAGTGTCTGGGATCCCTGCTCTCCACCTCAACCAGCTGCCCCATTCTCTAGGTGAACACAGAACCCCTCTCTCTCTGGATACCACCTTCTGTTTTCCCAGTGAAATCCCTGAAAGTCTGGGGTGTCTGTTGGCACTGCACTTTTCCACCCACACTCACAAGTGGAAGTGACAAAGAAACGATTTGGTGGCTAAGAGCTGCCAGGCAGCCAGGGGATGGAGCATGGAGGGGTGAGTGTCTGGAGTACTACTCACCACTTCCCCCAGCTCCCTCATCCCTTAGGCTGAACCTAAATATCTTTCTCTGGATTTCACCTTCTATGCTCTGAACTCCAAGTCCTGTACTTTGAGAGTTTCTGGCAGTGTTTCTGTTTGCCTCCCACACTCACAAGCGGAAGTGACAGAGAAATGAGGACTTTGATGAGCTAACAGCTGCTAGGCTGTCTGGGGATGGAGCATACTTCCTGCCCAGAGGTGTCTGATACTCACATCCTGTTGCCACGGGCATTGGTGGTGGTGGGATGGAGGCTCCCATGGGTCTTAGGATGCAGAACAAGAGGAGGGTGAGGTTCAGATGCTGACTCGGGGTTGCTCACTTTGCTCACTGTCCTCCTTCTCTTCTGTAACCCCCCTAAGATCCTCATTCTGTCTACTGCTAACCATGCAATAGACCATGGAGTATGCAGGGGGAAAGGTCAGCCAAAGAAACACAGGCTTACCAGAGCCAAAGGAACATAATTTGGCCCTGGATCCAGATTCAGCAAAACAAATCCTGGCCCCAAAACTAGAGTCACAAGGTTAAAGAGGACCATGGAAAGACACACACTTTGGCCCTGAAAACAGGGCTAAAGAAACCCACTCTGACCATGACCAACTCAGCATACAAACCAACCAACCCCTGAGCATTAAAAAAAAATCCCTAAGCACAAATTCCAGCTAATCTCTGAGCTTGTCCAAGCTCAGGGATTGAAATCTGACCAGTGTCCACCATGAAAATGTTCACTGTGAAAAAAACCATCCATAAAAAGGCCTATATAAGTTAAGCCCTGTGCCTGCTCAGTTTCCTGATGCCTTATTCCACCCTGGCAGAGGCAGACACTCTCCTGGATTCCTCTCTCCCAATAAATCTCTTGATTGAGGATTGGGTGATGACCTTCTTTCACCAGAGCAGAGACAGAGCTTGGGGGAGTGGAGAGGAGCAGGGCAGGACTGTAACACTTTTCCTGGGGAAAACATCCCCTTAGTAAGGCAGAGTTCCTACACTCTGGGGGACCTGAGCGGAACTATAACAACTTCTCTGGGGGAGCTTCCACTGCCTGAGTAGAGTTGATACTTTGGGGGAAACCTTTCCCTGGAGCAGGGCTGTAAGCTGCTGCACTTATAGTTACTTTGAGTTGTTCCTTGCTTTCAGATAGAATACTTTTCCATCTAAACTGCAGTGCTTACAGAGTGACATTACTAGAGGGACTCCTGCTAGTATTCACTTCTCTGTCCGAGACATTTCCTTCTAACCCTTTCTACAGTTTCTTTAATGTACCCAAGTCAAGAGTTTCCCTAGGGTTTGGATTTAAGGTCATACTGAGAAGTAAGAGTTACCTCACCTGAGACAGTGAGCTCCAAAGGGGCATTGGCTTGTGACAACAGGTAGAGAGATGAGTGATTAGAGCCTTTATAATCAAAGAAACAGCATCCATCCCAGAAATGAAGGGCTTGGCCAAGTCAGCATCTTGAGAAACAGCTGTTTCAAGCCTATAACTAGCAATTCCCCATCTGGATCCCACCTTCAAATAGAATATTTAGCTGCCTTGAGCCTGACTCCATGCAGGTGAGAGGTTTATTCTCAGAGTCTTTATGGCAGGGTGGGGAGGTGAGTGTCTAGGTTCCCTGCTCTCCACCTCACACGCCTCCCTCATTCTCTAGGCTGAGACTAATCATATCTCTCCCTGGATGCCACCTCTATAGCCTAAACTAAGTCTTTTGTTTCTGCAGTTTCATTTGGGATTTCTGCTTGCTTCACACACTCACAAGTGGAAATGACAGACAATGAAGACTTTACTGGGGTAAGAGCTGTGAGGCAGCCTGGGGATGAAGCTTACTCCCTACACTGATGTCCCTGATACTTGCCAGCTGATGTCATGGGCCTTGAGGGTGGTGGGCTGGAGGCTCCAATGGATCCTAAGTAACAGAACAACAAATAGATGATGGTTATATGCTAACCCAGGGTGCTGACTCTTCTCACTCTCATACATCTGTCTTGGAACCTCCCCATGATTCTCATGCTGTCTATCCTAACCTAGATTGCAATAGAGCATGGAGTAGACATTACTTGAGAGACCATCACTGGCATGCACTTTTCTACTAGGAAAATTGTCTTCTGACTAACCCTTCCTAATGTCTGCCACGTCAAGAGCTCTCTTAAGGTTTGAATTGTGAGTCAGACTGACAGTTCAGGGCAACCTCACCTGAGACTATGAGCTCCACGGGGGCACTGGCATATGACAACAGGAATGGTGATGAGTTTCGAGAACCATAGCACCTGTAGCTTCCCGAAATGGCAGAGGTCACAGCACTCACAGAGAATTCTGCCTGGAAGTGTTGATCTTGGAACTTTGATTTTAGTCGCTGGGGTTGATAAACTGCCTCCTCCTTGTACAGAATGAAAGTATTCACACTTTCCCTTGACCAACACAGAAGGGTCACATTATCTCCTGGATGTACTGTAGAGTTAGGCTTCACTGAGAGGAAAGGAGTGAAGGGAAGCTGTCCTAAAGAGAAGAGGAATGATGAGAGGTTGCCTTCATTGTTCTGAGCTGACACCACTCGTGAGCATCCCCTGAGTAGCAGGGATTCCATATCTTTTCTCAGACCGAGCTCCTCCCCTGCTGTCCTAACTCTGCATCAGTTCCTGCATCATTTCTTTGTCCCTTGTCCCAGCCACCACCTCTTAGGATCCCCTTGGAAGTCTATGCAGAGGACGTTACCTGATGAAATCTCCTTGGTTGCTCACCTGAGATCAGAATGTCCAAGGTGTCACTGGAGGCTGACCACTCAGAGGAGAGGTTGTGTGCACCATAGCATATGTATTGGCCTCCAGTAGAACTGTTCACAGAGCCCAGTGTGAAGTTGGCCAAGGAGAGACCAGCCTGGGTCCATTTGTGATGATGCTGGGTGAAGTTAATTGTGCCCACCTTGTACAGAGCAAATCTGTCATAGTTGATGTCAGAGCAACACTGCAGTGTGAGACTCTTTCCAGGGTCCAGGATATGGCCTTGGTGACTTAAGAGGGAGAGTGTCTTGGACAGCCCTAGAGGAAAGGTGACAGGCTAAGGACTGGGGAGCAACTTTTCACCAAACTCCTATCTGCTCTCTTCCTGTTCTGCACAAGCCTCTGCTTCTCTCCAGCTATGGGGCTCTGGCTTAGAAAACAGATTCTTCCTATAGTCCCTCTCTAACAGCAACTTTCCAGGGGATAGTGTCCTGCCAAAGACTCAGGCTATCAACAAGACTGGTCAAGGATGGGGATGGCTCACCTGAGACGTGTATTTCCAGAGGGTCACTGGGTAGTGACCAGAACTGTGGGGTAACCGTGTAGTAACCATAACATCTGAATGTCCCTCTGTGTACTGGGGTCACGGGACCTATAGAGAACATGGCTTGGTAGTGCCCATTATGGTGTATATACTGTGAATCCAGGGAGATGGAGAACTTCTCATCTTCTTTGGAGAGAATAAACTTGCCATATGCCTCCAATGAAACACATTGGAGAGTCATGTTTTCGCCTGAGGTTGCCACAGGGCCTGGCAGAGCTAACAGGCTTGGTTTGTATGTGTGGATTCCTAGGAGAGAAGGAGAGAGCCTTTTACATGAGCTCACACTGCCATAATGTTCTCTTGCACTAGGATGTAGGAAGGGAATGCTCCTGAGGGCAGAATCTGACCCTAAGACTCTGACTGTCCTCTCACCTGTCACCACAATCTCAAGGATGTCACTGCGCTCTGACCAGCCAGCTGAACTGTAACAGTAACAGCGATATTGTCCCCCATGTTGCTGTGTCACAGAAGGGATGGAGAACTTGGCCTTGTTCTCAGGCTTCTCTGGGGTCTGTGTGCCCCAGGATTCCGGGCTCCCCTCTTTATGCAGAACACATATTTCTGTATCCAGGGTCCCCTGACACCAGATGGTCACTGCACTTCTAGAGGCAATCACAGAGCCTGGCTCAGCCTTGATGGTGGGTTTGTGGAGGGTCCCTGTAAGGAAGCAGGAGAGAAGGAGGTGGTTCTGGTTGAAAGTGGCACAGAGAAGGTCCCACTTGTAGATGGCAATTAGGTTGATACAAAGTATCAGAATGTTAAACTCTCTCCTGAACCTCCTGGGCT